GATTCCAATTGCTTGTTAAACATGATCTTATTTATTGGTTACCCTTGTTTTGTGGCAGAATTAAGGCATCCATGCACTTGTTCATTCATTCATGATCCATATATCCATTGGATGCTTATCCGTCTTTGATAGAGTTCAAAGTTTTGTTGTACTCATCTGTAAATCCATGCCATTCTTTGCCAACTCGTCTTGTGTTGGGTTCAAAGCGTAACCCCACAACTGTTTCTTTTGTGGCCTTGGCAGGATTTATTTCTATTCCTTGTGCTTTTCGTATTACCCCAGCCTCTAGTAGCTCATTTCATGGTAAACCCTGTTAAGTAGCTAGTGTCCTGCTTTTGTGAATAGTTGTGATTTGATATTAGAGTGGCGCAGCGGAAGTGTAGTAGGCCATGTCTGTTCATAGAAAGAGTTAGTGGAGCATTTGTTTTGCCTTAGATTGGGTGAAGCCATTCACCAGTCTAGATGGTCCTCAATTTGAGTTTTGGGGACAAAACTCCTTTTTAGGAGGGGTGGATGTAATACCCCAAAATTTTGTGCTATTTTAGCATTTAAGTAAGGGTTTTTGTGTGAGAAAAATATTGTTTTGGGCTTAATAGCCGAAATGTCCAAACTTGAGGGACTTAAAGAGGGAAAGATTTTAGGATAAGGATCAGCTTCCTTCTTTTTCTTTTTCTTTCTTTCTTTTCTTCCTCCTTAGACCCGATTCTGCTCTTCTTCCCGCTGCAGCCCGAGAGGAAAAAAAAAAGGGGAACCCAGCCATGCTTGAGAAACTAGTGAGATAAGCTTGGTTTTCTCCTTCCTTTCTTGCTCTAGAACACACCTAGAACCCAGAAATCTTCCCCCCTTGCTGGAAAAGCCGGATCTGCCCTGCTCTGCTTTGTCCTTCCGCCGGCTGCTCTTGATTGTGGGTGATTTCTGGGCATTTTTTCGGTAAGAACAGCCCCTAATTTCCTTTGTTCTTGCTTGAATTGGCTTGGGTTAACTTTGATTGCTCTTATTTTCTTCAATTTTGGGTAGTTTCCGTGAGCTTCCCCTGCACTTCCCGCCGGCCTTCCCCAATCTGCAGCTCCGGTTTTAGCTGGAGAATTATAGTATGTGACAGCCTTTTAAGGCTTAAATTGTTCATTTAGTTTGCTGGCTGTGTATGTCCGAATTTTGCTAGAAAAGTGGGGAAGAATTTGATAGCTTTAGGACCATGATTGAGCTTGATTGAAGTGGGATTTATGTGATTGAGTGTTAATGGACTGCTATGTGATTTTTGGAGGAAAATCCCGTGAGATTAGTTAGTGTTTGGGCCAATTTGTGGGAGTGGAGTTACTATTCACGTCGGGGTCACTGTTCACCGACACTGTTCACCGACACTGTTCACACCCCGAGGGCCAACAATTAACGGGAATTTTAGTGATTAGTTTGTGCTGTAAGAACAAATTTGGAGATATTTGATCATGTGGAGATTTATGGAAATAGCATTGTGATTAGGAATGATCCTAATGATGAGTTTACCTTGAATTTGTGATAGTGGTATTAATTCTTGAAATATCTTGATTAGGTTCTCGATCGTTCTGTCAGTTAGTGCGTGAATTGAGTGCTCGGTTTTATGCAAGTGAGGTAAGTAATTTATGGTAATGCCCGTACTGTTTTAAAAGCATGTTTTGATTTGTTTTTTGAAGTGGTGGCGGGACTAAACCCATTTTACATGAGCATGACTGATTTGAAGTGAAATGTTT